GATCGGATCGAGGTGGCGAGTATCTCTCTGATGAATTCAGGGACTACTTGAAGGTCAATGGGATAGTATCACAGTTGGCTCTTCTTGCTACACAACAGCTAAACGGTGTTTTAGAGAGGAGGAATAGGACCCTATTGGATATGGTCCGGTCACTTATCATGCACTCAGAGTTACCCACATCCTTTTGGTGTTACGCATTGGAGACTGTGACATACGTGCTGAAATGGGTTCCAACCAAATCAGTTCCGAAGAATCCCTATGAGCTTTAGACCGGAAAGAAACCAAGTGTAAAACACTTGAAGATTTGGGGTTGTCCAGCACACGTTAAAAGAACAAGTGCAGACAAATTGGAATCCAAGACCAGCCGTTGCCTATTCGTAAGCTACCCCAAAGGCTCTATGGGTTACCTATTCTATGACCCAGGAGAACAGAAGGTGTTTTGTAGCCGAAATGCCCATTTCTTGGAGGATGATTACATCCTAAACAATCATCGTCAGGAAGTTGTTCTTAATGAGGAGAGCTCAGGGGTAGTGGGAGGTGTCCCACAAGTTCCAGGTACTGACCAACATGGAAGATCTACCCGGGTTTCCAGGCCTCCAGTTTGTTTCGGCTATGACTAGGATAGTTACCTGGTGGAAGCTATGACAAGTGAGGAAGATCCCATGACTTATATGGAAGTTATGTTGGACATAGATTCCTTGAAGTTGGTAGATGCCATGAGAGCTGAGATGGACTCAATGAAGACCAATGGAATCTGGACTCTAGTAGATCCACCCCCCGGGGTAAAAGCAATTGGTTGCAAATGGATCTAAAAGAGGAAGAACGACCCCGATGTTAAGGTTGAGACCTACAAAACTCGTTTGGTGGCGAAAGGGTATACTTAGAAAGAGGGCATCGATTATGAGGAAACAATTTCGTTGGTGACCATACTTAAATCCATTAGGATCCTGCTAGCTGTAGCATCATACCATGACTATAAGATTTGGCAAATGGATGTCAAAACTACATTCCTGAATGGAGATCTTACTGAAGATATCTATATGCAGCAACCACAAGATTTCATAGCTGCGGGTCAGGAACACATGGTATGTAAATTAAATAGATCCATATATGGACTTAAGCAAGCTTCTAGGAGTTGGAACATCCGATTTGACTCTACTGTCAAAAAGTTTGACTTTGAGNGAATGATGTAGGAATGTTGACTACGGTGAAAGTATGGCTTTCACAGCAATTCTCCATGAAAGATCTTGGAGAAGCCTCCTATATACTCGGTCTTCGACTTTATAGAGATAGTTCGAAGAGGATACTAGGATTATCCCAATCTACTTATATTGACAAGATAGTCAAAAGATATAGCATGCAGAACTCCAAGAAAGGAAATGTTCCTTTCAGGCATGGAGTCACTCTCTCCAAGGGCATGTCTCCCAAGACTCCTGAGGAGATTGAGGGCATGAAGGACTTTCCATATGCCTCAGCCGTAGGGAGCATCATGTATGCCATGCTGTGCACTCGTCCTGACATTGCTCATGTAGTGAGTGTGGTAAGCAGATTCCAGGCCAACCCAGGGCAGGAGCACTGGACTGCTGTGAAAAATATACTTAAGTACCTTCGAAGGACGAAAGATTTTTGTCAAGTATTCGATGGTAGCTCACTACAGATCTAGGGGTATACAAATGCCGATTTCCAGTCAGATCCAGATGATAGAAAATCTACATCTGGATATGTTTTCACAATAGGATCGTGTGCTGTTTGTTGGAAAAGCAGCAAACAGGGGTCCACAGCGGATTCCACAACCGAAGCCGAATACATTGCCGCAAGTGAAGCGGCCAAAAAAGCCGTATGGATGAAGAAGTTCATTCATGAATTGGGAGTAGTTTCATCTAGCACATCACCCATTCCGTTGTTGTGTGACAACAATGGAGCTATTGCTTAGGCTAAGGAGCCACGATCCCACTCGAAGTCGAAGCACATCGAGAGGAAGTACCACATACTGCGGGAGATAGTTGGAAGAGGGGACGTCCTAATTCAAAAGGTAGCATCAGCGAAGAATGTAGCAGACCCATTGACTAAGCCACTGAAACAGAAAGTGTTTGAGAAACACGTAGAAAGTATGGGACTCTGGCTTATACTAGATTGGACCTAAGTGCAAGTGGGAGCTGTTAGACAGCGTATGCCCTTGGCTCCAATCAGAATGATGTACATTATGACATTTATTGTAAATGAATAAAGTACATATTTGATTCATGTTATTGTGGTGTGTTTCTGTGTAATACCCTTAAACTGGACACATATGAGACTCGTTTTAGTTTAGAATGTTCACAACCATTGGATAGATTTGGGGAGATTTATCCTACCAAGGCTGACACTGATGTAACGCCAAGTTGGTTTGGG